ATTTCACTCCACACGCTCTTGTCACCCAAAGCCAAAGTGACTCATAAGGTACTCATAAAACTTGTGCTGAAGGAGTGGAGGGAGAGAGCCTAGAGAGGGAAAATGACCTAGAGAGGAGAATGAAGGGCAGTTGCTTTGTGTTTCTCATAGAAATGGAGAAAATTTTAATAAGCTTAAAACTCACATGCAGCCTGCAGGTCTGAATTGAAATTGGCAGCTTATATTTGAGTATTCAATGGAAAATTATTTTCATTACTTATGAAGTTTAAAAAAAAATCCATTCTTATCTACAAGGCCAAGAAACATCTGATGTATATAGTAACATCAGTCCAGCATATGTACACACAGCCTTGGATGCATGAACACACACACACACACACACACACACACAGAGAGAGAGAGAGAGAGAGAGAGAGAGAGAGAGAGAGAGAGAGAGAGAGAGAGCATACAGACAGACAGACAGACACACACACATACACATCATTCACATGCAACACAGAATTACAGACTAAAGATGAGTACGTGGAAACAGCTTGGATTTGATTAGGAATGGGGGAAATTTTATATAAAATGGCTAAAATTTCAGTCAAGAGTTCTCTTGATAAACGTTTTGAGAATGCATCAAATATGCATTGAATACATCAAAATAGGAAAAAGAAAAACTTAAACAGGAGGGTCTAATGACAAGCCCATGTCCAGGGCAAGCACTCAGAAACAAACTGTAGTGCTGAATAACAGTCATCAAGTTGGTATAATGCCCAGTAGCAAAGCAGTTGCTTGGCAGTGGTGAAGCCCCGGGTTCCATTACCCTTTGGTCAGGTAACAACTTTTAAAAACTACCCTAAAAATAAAGGAAAGAAAAGAAAAAAATAGCTAGAGTTTGCTAGTCACACTCATAGCCAATGCATAAGCACCATGAACTTATTTTATTCTATATATTTGTCATACAAGAAACACAATAATAACACAAACAAGTAGTTGGACTCTATTATTTGTTGAACTATGTACACTGAAGAACAAAGGCTTGATTGGGATCAGCAACAAGAATGCTATTGGCCATGGTGGTTTGTCAGATGCTGCTGCATGTTAAGGAATTTTCAGCCAAGCTGCAGCTGTCCTCAGGAGTAGATTGAGGGGGTATAGGTGGGCATTGACAGATGTGGCCACATGTCTCTGTCTCTCTGTCTCCCCGCCCCCACCCCCCCACTGTCTATCTCCCTTTCCCTTTCTGTGTGTGTCTTGAATACAATCAAATGGAGTTTTTAAAAGTATAAAAGCACAGAGAAATACTTTCTCTTAGAGAAGATCTCACCACTTGGTGGCAGTATACCCAAGTTTAGAAAGTTGAAAATTAAAAGCAAACTGTGACATGAAATGGCACCAAATATCTCCTGACCACAGTTGCAAAATCACCCCCAAAGTGCTCCCTGTCTGGCTGGAAGTCCGGCTGCTGTTCCTTATGCTGCAGGTGTCAGAAGCACCCTTCTCAGGCTGAGGAGGCTGACTCTGTGCAGTGTTTGTCTAGAAAGCACAGGGGCTTCACAGCCAACACAGAAAAGCCATCTATAGGGTCAAACACTTTGTTTCACCTGCAATTCCTGCCATTTTTACCCTCATTATAGATCTGTGAAACTGCTTCCACACAGCAGTGGACATGATTAAACCAATGCTTAAGCCACTTTCTTATTTCGGGTATCTTTCTTTTTGTTGCTGCTGAGACCTGATTCATACTTTTTATATTTGGTGTTCCTTATAGAAATAGGAAAATCTCTCCCTCTTTCCTTCTCTCTCCTTCCTCTTATCAAGACCTTGCTATTTAGCCCAGATCAGTCTCAAACTTTCAGTCTTCTTGCCCCAGGCTCCTAGGTGCTGGGATTACAGGCATGCTCCTAGTTCAGCCAGGTCTTTCTTTCAGTGAGAGACATTCTCACTTAGGGCTAGGGAGATGGTGCAGTCAGAAAAATGCCTACTTTGCAAAAACAAGGACCTGAGCTGTGAAAAGGACCAACCCCATGTGAAAAAGGCCAAGGACAAGCCAGGTGGTGGTGGCACACTCCTTTCATCCCAGCACTTGGGAGGCAGAAGCAGGCAGGTGTCTGTGAGTTCAAGGACATCTTGGTCTACACAGTGAGTTCCAGGACAACCAGGGCTACAGGTAGAGAAAACCTTGTCTGGAAAAAAAACAAAGAAAGAAAGAAAAAGGCCACTTGTAATCATAGCACTGGGGAGGCAGAGACAAATGGGTCTCTGGGGCTTGCCAGCTACTCAGTCTAGCCTACTTCGTCGAACTCTAGGTCAATCAGAGACCCGGTCTCAAAACAACAAAAAGCAAACAAACAAACACATGGGCAGTGCCCAAGGCCCAACACCTAAGGCTGTTCTCTGGACTCCACATGTACTCATGTATACATACATGCAAGTACACACACATGAACATGACCACAGAAGTTCTTGTCCCTTTGAATGTCAACAACAAATATGATTATATGTGAGGATATCCACAATCATTCTTCTTATTCATTTTGTGTTATATTCACAGTTGTTTTTATGTTACTTATATATTTGCAAATCCTGTTGTGGAGGGCCATTGTTCAGGCATGGCATGGTCACTACCATCTTGAAATCAGAGCCATGGTGACAGACCCAGGAGACCCTCAACAAGGTTGGGTCCATTAACACTTGATGGAAGCGGAGCATGGGAAAGGTAATCAGACACTTAACCTGAGATCTCAGCCACTCCCTTCTACCTGCTCACTTCTTACCCCACTGCATGTAATCCTGTCCCAGGTACACAAGGCCTCAAGATGTGCTGGTGTATGTAGGAGGTGGAAGGTTAGCTGCATAGGAGACTTCAGTGAAGTAGCTTTCATGAGACATATCTTGGTGTGACAGGAGGGTAGGGTGGAGAAAGTAGCATCAGGATTAGCCTATGAAAGAAACCAATGACAGAGAAAAAGGCTGGAACCTTGACCCTTTCTTACCCCTACCAAGGTCTACATATAAGGGGCTGATGGGGCCCAGTGCCACTGAACGCCTAACCTTTCCCAGCTCTCTGACCTGCTTTCTTCCTCAGAAGTATGCTTTTTCTTAATACATCATCTCTGCTTCTACCATTATCCATGTGTCCCTGGTCCAGTTCCTTGTTTGGGGACACAATAATCTGGAAATCTCAGCAGATGGTAAGTTATCAGACAGGAAGTCATATTTATGTTCGTTTTCTCTTAATCTCCTCAAAGGAAGCTAGGATCTTGTGCTTGCCCACTAGCCTGCCTGCTGCCTCCCTCTCTCCTTCCTTCCTTTCTTCCTCTTCACCTTTTGTTTTTCCTCCAAAGCACATGGAAACCAGGGACCCAGCTGTGGAGATTGTGGCCATGGTATCAGAACAGATGTGAAAGGAGACTCGACAACAGTTTGGAGCACCAAGTCCAACCTTCTTCACAGTTCATGATGCCACAAAGTCAGGAGTAAGGAGAGTTCCCAGATGTGCCCATGTCCCCACCATGCCTAGCTACTGGGTTCCATAATGCTACCACTCCCCCAAATATTCTTAAACTGCCAGTACTTTGCCCATCTCCATTCCCCTTTTTTTATTTTCTTCTCCTAGGACAGCCTTGATGCCCCAGCTTGGGCATGGGAAGAGTGATGGTAGTGGCAGAATTCATGTCTGTATTCATCAGGGTTCTTTAGAGGAACAGAACTGATAGATTGAATCTCTCTATATGTAGAAAGAAGATTAGAATGGCTTACAGGCTAGTCCAACAATGGCTGTCTACCAATGGAAGATCCAAAAATTCAGTAGTTGTTCAGTCCACAAGGCTGAGTGTCTCATCTGGTCTTCAGTACATACCAAAGCTCCAGAGACGTGGGCTCTGATACCAGTGCAGGAATGAACTTGCCAGGAAGAGCAAGAGCAAACTGGCAAAGAGAGAAAGCTTCCGTCCTCCATGTCCTTTATATAAGCTGCCAGCAGAATGTATGGCCCAGATTAAAAGTGGATCCCCCCACCTCAATGATCCAGATTAGAAGTGGGTCTTCCCACTTAATTAAGGAAAAAAACAAAACAAAACAAAACAAAAAAACCAAAACCAAAACAAAACAAAACAAAAAACCCAAAAAACCTTACAAGTGACCAGCCACTTGGTTAATTCCAGATGTAGCAAAATTGACAACCAAGAATAGCCATCACAATGCCCGTATCCTCTTCACACCCAGATGATCCCACAGAGAATCATCCCTACTCTGGGACTTGGGCTGTGACCAGAGCAGGAAGGACAGAAGTGTGATGTGAAGGCTGACTCTGTTGCCTGCAGTGCCTGGACCTGGACACTTGGCACTTTCATGTTGTTTCCACCAGGGTTCATAAACCTTGATCTAAAATCCTTCAGGGCCATCCCCTGGCAGGAATGGGAGTTCAGAGGCTAGCTCTAGAAGTCCCAGAGACAAAAGTGTAAGACACAAATAGAAGCAGAGGCTGGTAGGCTAGGCTCAGTACTGTTTAGGGTCTGGATGCCTGAGTCCACCTCTGGGAAGTGAGGGGCACAGGTCAGGCAGGGCAATGGATTCTCACCCCTCTCGCCGTTCTTGATTAACATTTTTCTGCACTCCTCTACCACTGTTTTGTGTACCCCCAGGGAAAAACAGAGGATCCAGGAATAAGCTAGAAGGCATGTGGATAAACTATTTGGTCAAAATCCCTATGACCATCTGCCTATACTACAGGCTCTCCCATGCCAGAATCTCCCAGATAGGAAGTGCACACAAGTAAGGAAAGAAAATCCTGCCCTATTTCTCAAATGATTGAGGCTTTCAGAAAATTCACCAACCAGGAGCCCAACCACTAAGGTCCAGTCTCTTCTGAGATAACATTCTATTAATTGATCAACCCCTGCCTGACATCCATAGAAAATTCCAATTCCCTACAGATAGGGCCTCAGAAGTCACAGACTCAGCTGTTCATGTTTAACTACTGAAATCTGAAGAAAGACAAAAAGGAACAGAGAAAAGCTTCCAAATTATTATATTTGTCCTTGTAGGTGCCATGAGCCAGTCCATCTACCAAAAATCAACCAACCAAACAATTTTCCCCCATCATGGGCCATGACATAAATACAACAGATGTCAATTAATAATTCAGTCATTGATCCACCAGATGAATAACTCTCTGATGGAGAAACTTCATCAAGCAAGGCTTGTGGGACCACAGACTCTGAAAACTGGTTGTTTCTGTCTGTAATTTTTCTCATGTGCCACTACATTTCTTCCCTAAAAACAGCTATGAGTATTTTACCCACTGCCTGTGTGCTTATCTCATGTATATATTCCATCTACTGGGCACACATACATTTGTGGATGGTCAGGAAGATGATTCCTTCATGAAGCAACTTTAGTGCCAGCTCTTCACTTGCAAAAGTCTGGCTGATAACATTAGAGACATAACTCCCTGCACAGATTCTCTCAGCAATTGACTCTCTACACATACCCCTAATACCAGTTTTATGATGCAAGACTCAAGGTTCAGCCAACTAACTGTTTATTGCTTAGGTCCTGAATTTCAATGTCACTCTGTTGGGAAATGCTGAGCACTCAGCTATGTGTTTCCCTCCCATTCTTGCTTTACAGTCTGTCTGACAGTCAAGCGTGGCCATGCCTATTCACTCACTGGCCAGTCAGCATGGAATCCCTAGCCTGAAAGAAACTATATAATTTCTTATGTGTTATCAGAATGGCTCTGCTTCCTATTGTTTACTCAAGGAATGTTTTGTGACCCTCAAAATGTAACTCACATATTTGTCCAGAGATTTTTTTTTCTGTGAGAGGGCTGTGTAGAAGAGAGATGTAGATGTGTAGAGATGTGTAGAAGAGAGATGTATAGAAGAGAGGTGTGTGGCTGTGTAGAGATGTGAAGCTGTGTGTAGAGAGATGTAGCTGTGTGTAGAGATATGTAGCTGTGTGGAGACAGATTTTCAGAAGGAGATTTTTCAAGATGCAGTAAAGAGAAAGTTGCCATCAGAACATGTATGTTTCTTTACTAATTCCCCTCAGATAGGAAAGTTCAGCCCTTGCCACATTCATGGAGTTTTTGCATAACCTAGGTGCAGTCTTAGAGCTGGATCTCCAAAATACCCCAATAACCTTCTGAAGCATAATCCTAATTAGTCTGATCAATAAAAACCAGGAATCAGATATCAGGGTAAAAGCTGAAAGATCAGTGAAGCAGAGCAGCAGCCACCAAAGACTTTGTACCTCTCTGAATCCTCTGACCAAAAAGAACTGAGATCCTGTCTCCAACCTGCCTTATCATTTCCTGTCTCTGCCCAGTCTTATCACTTCCTGTCTCCTGTCTGTACAGACCTCCAGACCTCTATGGTTAACTAGTGATTAGCTCTTCACTCTGATCTCCAGGCAAGCTTTATTTGTCAGAACACAAAATATCACATGACATTTCCCCTTTTTTTTCTAAATAAAAAACAAAGGTTTAAACTAACATAGAAAAGCTATATACAATAAGTACAATAACTATATACAAATATATATAGGCAATAATTAAATTAACAATGTCTAGTCCATTAGCATTTGACAAATCAGAGAAAATACTCCATTATCTATCCTATCTTGGTGAGTCCAAAGTGTTGTACCTAATTCACTTTCTATTCTAGCTTGCATTACTAACACAAAACTATCTTTTTATGTCTCTCAACCTTATACACTTTATACTTCTTTAGTTTCTTAAACTATAACTGTAACTATCTGGTCTTCAACTCCATCAGAGACCTGAGAAGGACATAATATTACCTGAGTAAACAGGAAGTGCAAAGCAAACAACTACTAAAAATAAAGAAATGACAAAAACAACTGGCTGCCTGGACAGTCACCCAAAGTTCCTCTGTAATATTGGGGCATCCATCTTCAGCCTGATGGCCTAGAATATCTGACAGACTTTTCTATGAAGCAGAATTTTTGAAGGACTGTCTCATCTTGTCTTGGCAAAGTTCAGAAGTCACTTTCTTTTCTGTCTTGCTTGTCCAATTTGGACAACATACTGTCAGCAGTCGAAGCAAGAATACTTTCTTGCCCAGTGGCTAACTTTTGCCATAAAGAAAGTAAACTCCATGTGGAATTTATTCAATGTCCATCATCTTCTCTAAAGTAGATTGGTGCTGCCAGGAGCAGGCATATCTTAGTTATAATAAAAAAGAATGTTATATTAAAACATCTTAAATGCCATATTCTGTAGATCTCTGAAGTGTCTGAAAACCACTTGCCTATCTAAAATACATCTCTGGTTGATCATAAAAACATATCTAACATGACTACAAGTTTGATTGTAATAGGTGACTAACTGCTAACCTGCATTTCTTTGTTATCCTAAATAGTTTGTAATAATAACTTTCAAGGACTAGAAATTTACATTACATTGTTGAATGATCTGTATAGGTACAATACCTTGAACAAGAGTAGAAATGTATGTACAATATGTTCTACCAAAAATAATCTTAAATTTGTACCAATATACAAAAATCCAAGCCAATGTAAAATATTTAAAACTAGCAGTTGCTTTTTTGGTTTAAAAGTAGATTCAATAATCTACCCTTTTATCCCGTTTCTATATTCCCCTTTTCATTTTAGAATGAGATCCCTGAATCTAACCTCCTTTGTTCAGTTTTTCTCCTGACTGTTACCAATAACAATTTGTAACCAACTCCCCTAAATGATGACAAATATCCATAACATACTGAATGACCAAAAATCACCCACCGTACCTCTTGGGAATGTGGGTGTTGTGTTCTTAAAATTGCTTCCTGCTATCTGGGGACAACAGTATCTTTGGGGGAAACATGAAAAAAATTGGGATAATTGTCAGGTCCTAGGAGAGCTAGCTGTATCATTTGTTATCCAGTCTCTGTGTGATGGGAAAGTGCAGGGCTGGTCTCAAGTCCTGGCTAGAGTAGTCTGTGAGACTGGACCGTCTCAGCTAGCCACCTTGAAATTGTCCTGAGCAGTTTGTTGTCCAAAGCTGATCTTTAGGTGGTGTTTGTCAGCTTAGTGGCATTATCACAGTCCAGATGGAATCATCTTTGTGGAGCCCCATCCTCCTTTTGGAGACTTCAAAAGTCACTGTCAGGCATGGTCATGGTTCACTGCAGAAAACTTAAACATTTCAAATGTCATATGCAGCAGATCTCAAAGAGTTTAAGGGACCATAATTTGTTAGGTATATCCAGAGCACAAAAACTTAATTCCTAGTATACCTGATATTCAAACCCAAAATCATATACAGGAATCTAGATGAAGTCCTTTTCTAGAATTAGTTAGTACTCTACATGACCATTAATATCATGACAAAAGTTTAATCTTATAAATTCTGATATAATATTCATATCTTAAGAAAAGTTTTAAAGAGTTAAAATAAAACCAAAGGATCATGAGATTAGTAGCAATAGATCAGTCCCTTAATGTCAGTTTTTCTTCTGTTCCATATCAAGTGGCTCTTCTGACATAAGACAGAGATTTTGGATTTTCCTTTTAACAAGCATGTTTGGGTTTAGACAAGGAGAGAGTCATGCTTCAACTCCAAAGCCAGCGTTAATTTTTAATTGAACTACAAAAAGACCATTTGCATTATGTATCTGTAGAGAACAGCAGAAACAAACATTTAGGAAGATTTATGAAATTTTATCCTGTTGGAAATGTGAAATATCAGTAGGCCAATTTATTCCTTTTCTTGGGACACTTGCTCTGGATGATTCATCCTTTTTTCTTCAGATGTCTCAGTTGTCCAGTGGTCTTCAGATTCCTTAGCTGATTGCCTTCATTTTCCTGGAAAGACAAAAACAAAACTCTGCCCCAACTATAACTTTGGGAAGTTTCCCTTTTGGCAGGTTATATCAGATCAAATGAAAAGCATTTGTTAGTCGTTTTTTTTGTTTGTTTGTTTGATTTTTTGAGACAGAGTTTCTCTGTGTAGCTTTGTGCCTTTCCTGGAACTCCCTCTGTAGTCCAGGTGGGCCTCCAACTCACAGAGATCCACCTGCCTCTGCCTCCCCAGTGCTGGGATTAAAGGTGTGTGCCACCACCGCCTGGCTACATTTGTTAGTCTTATAAGTTAGTTTAGATTGAAGGGTCATGCTGGTTGATGAACTATCACCTCTTCTAATCAAGAGAACTCTCTTGTTCAAATCTAATCTTTATCAATTTTGATAGCATCCATAGATTTTCTTCTCCTGTGGAAACAAAAGCAAAACTGTTAGAATTCTGCCCTCACTCCAGCTACATGACTGCACATGCGCAGTTCAGGATAAGCAAAGGGTCTTGCGTCTTACATCATCAATTTGCACTGGCGACTATGTGTGCATGGTGTGGTCAGGCAATCAGCACATGTGTGGTGTAGCTCTGTAAGCCCACTTCACCAGGAGCCCTTAAAAAGCCAGAGGCAGACCCCACCCTCTCTCTCTTCTCTGCTCTCTCTCCCCCCTACCATCTTTCTCTCTCCACACATGCTCTTTCCCAGGTCTGGTTCTTCCCCTACTCCCCCTTTCTCCTAATAAAGCTCTCTGCTACCAGGTAGCATGGTCGTGGCTCATGACCTTTCCGTGAGGTAATAACCAGTGCCACCACCAGCTCCGTTTATCATTCATTTCAAAAACCCCTTCCCCAACATAACATATATCTTGGTTTCCATTCTTAGGTCAACACATCTTTAAAGTATACAGGGTGATTTAATTCTGTAGTTTTTTTCTATTATCCAATGTCTCTCTGCAGCTGTCATTCCTTTCTCATTAGCATTTAGAAAATTTAAAGTTAATAAATTTATTATGTAATCTACCTCTGGGGGTCTTTATTACCCCTTTCTGTTTATTAAACATATCTTTTAGAGTTCAGTTAGGTCTTTCTATAACTGCTTGCCCTGTAGGATTGTGTGGTATACCTGTAATATGCTTCATGTTGTAATATGCAAAGACAGTTTTATTTTACTAGAGACATAAGCTGGAGCATTGTCAGTCTTAATTTGTACAGGTATCCCCATGATGACCATAACTTCTAACAAATGTGTGATTACAGAATCAGTCTTTTCAGAACTCAAAGCAGCTGCCCATTGAAATCCTGAATATGTATCTATGGTGTTGTGTACATATTTAAATTTTCCAAACTCTGAAAATTTTAATTTTCAAAATTCATTTGCCAAATTTCATTTCTTTGAGTACCCTTTGGGTTACTTCCTGCAGGTAGTGAAGTTTGATTATACAAGGAACAAGTAGGACATTTTCTTATAATTTTCTTGACTTGTTGCCAAGTGATGGAAAAATCCTTTTCCAAACCCTTGCTATTGGAATGGTGTTTTTAAGAAAATTCTGAGGTCTCCATCACATTTCCTAATAATAGCTGATCAATTTCATCACTACCTTGTGCAAAGGGCCTGGCAGACCCTTATGAGATCTGATATGTGTTTTATATATATGAGATGATTCCTATTCTTGACTAGTTCCTGTAACCGTATAAATAATGAAGTTAATTCTGATTCATCAGGAATAAGTTTAGCAGTTTCAACATGTAAAACAACTCTTTCTGCATATTGAGAGTCAGTATCTATATTAAGAGGTTCTGTAAAATCCATTAATACCATGATAATAGCATATAATTCTGACTTTTGGACATAATCATAAGGGCTTTGAGCCACTTTACTTAAATTTCCTGATTTATAACCTACCTTTCCTGATTTATTTGCATCAGTATAGAATGTAGGGGCTCCAGAAATTGGTGTTCCCTGTACAATGTGAGGCAGGACACAATTGATTCTTTTTATGAATTGAAGTCTCTTGCTTTGGGGATATCTGTTGTTAAACTCTCCCAAAAACTTAATGCAAACTCTTTGTCAATGTTCATTTTCTGCCCATAAAGAGGAAACTTAAGCATTAGTGTAATGTACTACAATTTCTGTTGGGTACATTCTTGTCAATTGTCGAAGTCTTAATTTTCCTTTCAGAATCAACTCAAAAACCTTTTCTATACATGTCTTTAATTTTTTACTCTGTTTCTGTAGTAAAAATATCCATTCCAAGACAATATATTCCCTCTGCATTAAAATCCCTGTAGGGATTGCATAGAGGGTAAAATAACCAGGATGCAACCAAGCCCCAGATCCAAATGATCCACATGTGCATACTAATTTCTTTTTCACCAAAGCCAATTCTGTCTAAACTTCAGCTGATAATTCTCTTGGACTATTCAAGTCCTGTCACCTTTTAAGATTTGATACAAATTACTCAGTTTTTGAGTTGTTACTCCAATAGTGGGCCTTAGATAGGTAACGTATCCCAGCCATTTCTGAAAGTCATTACGAGTTTACAATTGATCTCTGAATTCAAAATTAAGTATTGTTAAATGACTATTAATTATAATATGGTGAATACTTGCTCCAATACCCTCTCATTCCTTTTGGCTCGCCCTGTCTAAGCTTCTCTCCTTTTACTGCTGTGTTTTTTAGATTTTGAGATAAGGTCTTACCTTATAGGCCAGGTTGACTTGAGACTGACCACGATAGCTGGCAACCTGGTTTTGAATTCAAAGTGATCTTCCTCTCTGAGCCTCCTAAGGGTTGAGATTGAAGATATGAACCCCTGGACCCTGGTTTGAATTTTAAAATGTCGAAGTTTCCCAGGGTTCTGTTTCCCAACTTCTGTTTTCTCTCAACCCATCTACTCCTTCCCTCACCAGTCCCCAAAGTTTGGGTCATTTCCTCCGTGTCGGCGATTCCTAGAATTCTAGTTCCAGCTCCCATTGGTTTGTAGAGCCACTTTCATTTTTATGACAGCCTGTAAATATTTCCACAGCCCTTCTGGCAGATGTGGCAAATCAGTGTTGCCAAGCTCCCTCTCCACCGTTTTCAAGCACCATTGCATGATGTTTCCATTATAGTGACTATATGACATTGATCTTAATATCACCACCATGCACAGTGCTGTCACGCATTAGATAAATATTTGTTGAATGACTTAATAAATATATGAATAGTAAAGCTAAAATTTTAATGTGTTTCTCAGGCAGCCTATTAGGAAAACAGTAATTCATATACTCACAAAGTGTCCTTTTTTGGCTGTGGTGGCCAGCTGCAGTTCCTATGGAATCATGCCTGGCAGTATTCACACCCCCGTGCAAACCATTTCTCTTAGGTGAAATCTCCTCTTAGGTCACTACAGAAGCTGTTGTCACGAATGCCGCTGACCTCCTAACGTTTAGTGTCCCAAAGAGATCATGGTGAAAGAGTCTTTCATATTTAGTCTTACTTTTATGCACACGTATCACCCTAGGACTGAGGGATGAGTGCCAGTCATTGGAATTAATGTTACACCCATAATCAAAACCATCAGCGCAGTGCAGCTCCAAACCAAGGCATCTCAATCCTCCATCAGACCCCGAAAGCGCTTTCCTTTTGGACAGAACAAGGGTAGAAAGTACTGCAGGTGCGTTTTTGCCGAGATCCAACACAGCCATGGCGAGTACCAAGGAAGTGTGTAGTTCCTGGCAGGTGGCTTAGCCCAGAGTATCCTCCCTCCTCCAGCCATATGGGGGTGTGGCAGGGCGCGACAGTCCGCAGGGGCGGCAGCCTGCCTTGGACCGCTGGGTTATTGGAGACAGGGCGCCCGGCCACGTGGGCGGGGCAAAAGGCGTCCGGGATGTCCCAAGGGCAGGAAGTGAGGGGGCGGGGCTTGGGAGGGTGTGCGCCTGCGCGGAGGCCGGCTGCTGGATCCCGCTCAGGCCGCGGCAAGAGTGCGTGCTCACGGTGACGGCTGGGCGTTCTCCCTGAGCTGGGCGGCGAGGGCGGAGATGGGGAATTGGGGCAGGGGTTCGGGGCTGCGGTGGGCATGGGCATGGGCCATGCTGGGGTCGGCGCGAACGGCCGGGGCGGCGGGCTTTCTGGAAGCTTGCCTCCCGCCGCCGGTGGTGGGTTCCGCAGGAGCAGGGCTTCCTCCTGCGGGGTAGCTGGCCTGGCCTGTGCGGGTCTCCCCTCCGCCCCGCCGCTCGTCCTTGTGCAGAGACAAGTGCTCCGGCTCCAGCCCGCAGCATCAGGACAGTCGGAGCAGTTCCAGGGAGCTTACTGATTTTCTGAAAAACTTATGTTCAAGGATCATTTTAAAATACTATTTACATGTCACCTGCGGTGTGACAGAGAGCACCTGTGCGGGCAAGCCTCAGCCAGAAACGTTAGTCCCAGGAGATGAAAATACCACATTTGGAATTTAGGAGTTGAGAGCTTCATAGGAGTTGATCGCCTCATAGCGACTCTCAAGGTCCTGGAGCCCTCTCTAAAAGGATTTAGCTTCATAGCAGACATCCTCAGCCGGGGTTGCAGGGGTGCTGTGTGACATTTGGAAACTTAAGAGCCAAGCCTGGTAACTTTTTTTTTTTTTAAAGAAGCCATCCATCATGTACTTAGCTTGAATGATTATTCCAAAGTGCATGTCCTATTTTTGCCAATCTGACAACTGTTTCCATAGAAACTAGGGAAGAAATAGTCGTTTTCAGTGAGAGTTGTTGAAACTGTCATCCGGATATCAGCTGTGAGTGCCCGTGAGCGTACTACTTGCTCATTCTGAGATGGCACTTGAAGAATTAAGGGGTTGGAATGTTCTTAGAGGCTAGCAATCCAAATTGTTTAATTTTCTCACATCATTAATTTCCTAGTCCTACAAGCCTGCCAGCTTATGTTTGTTGGGCCATGGTTCTTTGAAAAGCACATGGCAGCCGCAGTTCTTTCTTAGGTGCTGTGCATTGTGGTGAGTGGCTCTTTGAAAATGTATAGATTTCTTCCCCCCTTTAAAAAACTCCATTTAAAGGATTAATTAGTGATTACAGATTAACAACTACTGTTCCTCTTCTGGGTGGCACGTGATTGATTATCAGTGGTAGAAATGATAATGATTTTAATTACGTACCTAGTGTTTGGGGGCTTTTGTTTTTACCTTCCATGGGTAGACTGCCTTAAACATGTTCGCCCATGCTCTGAAATGAGCAGTTTTCTTCTCATGTGAGCAGAGCCAAGCAGTGTGGATAGTGTGCGTGGCATGGTGATGAGAGTTTATCTGAGGGGTGTCAAGTAAAGCAGACATTCTAGAATCTAGCAGTGGGTGAAGGAGGCTTGGAGAGGGTGCCTGCAGAGCTGGGAAGCCAGGAAGCAACATTAGGAAGTTTATTGGAGCTCGTAGAAAACCAATGGTAATTACAAAAGTGCTTGCTTACCTTGGTGTTTACAAAGCTAACGAACCCTGTAAAAATTTAAACTGCCTTGAAAGAGGAAATACTGGATCCCTCATAACCACCATTCCGCCCCCTCAATTACACTAGGCCTTTTCTGAGATTTATTTTTGTATCCGTTAGTTGTGTTTTCTCTTTACTAGTTTTACAGACTGGGCAGGAAATTTTGTCTTTTTTCTTCTCTGCTTTGTCTCTGCTACACAGAACGGTGTTCGACATGTAGCATTCACTCATTGTATAATGAATTAATGAATAAAACAATCCTGAACTGAATGAGATAGGTGAAATGTTTGGTTAAGATAATCAAGATTTATTAATTTGGTTGATGACATTTTAAAACAGGTAAATTTCACAGTAAATCTGAACTTGTGGCTTTTGTAGAAAGTTTTGAAACATTTGGCAACATAAAGGTTTGATTTGTTTGTTTGATTTGTTACATTGTTGGCCCTCGTTTGGGTGGCCTTGTTCATATCTTCTGACTCTGGAGGTTTACCTGCATCTACCACACAAACCTGCACTGCTCAGCGGGACAGCCACTGGTTCATAACTCCTCTGATTAACTTTAATAAAAATGAAACAGACTACAGATTCTGATCCTCCAATGCACGTAGCCACATGCCAGGGCTGCCGTATTGGATAGCATAGAGAGCATCTCTGCAGAAAGTGTCATGCAGTCTTGCTTCTGACCTTGGACTTTGCCTCCCCACTATCCTGTTGTACAGAAAGTTTTGTTTTCTAAATTATCTTGAACAGCTCTGTGACTCAAGTGCTGGAATCCAGGCCTGCCCTAGCACACTAGCTTCAGGGCACTTTCAGGTAGCTCTTATGGCTGTGTTTCAGGTTAGCATATCTCTTTGTTGTGGCTCAGAGCTCTGTATTTTAATTAAAAATACAGTCTTTAGTGGTGTGACTCTTTGGGTTAGGTTTCCGTTGTTGATTTGCTCTCTCTCTTCTCCCTTTTTTTCTTTTTGAGACAGGGTTTCTCTGTATAACAGCTCTGGCTGTCCTGGAACTCGCTTTTGTAGACCAGGCTAGCCTCAGGGACACTGACTTGCCATTGCTTCCCACGGGCTGGGGTTAGAGGCGTGCGCCACCACCTGCTTTGCCTTTCTTAAGGATTGCTTTAGGTTGCTTGCAGGAGGGGTTGGCAGTGAATTAAGCAGAACTAAAGTGACCAGCTAGAGATGATAGAAGAGCCCACACACAGGGTCACAGAACCCAGGGGGAGCTGGATGGAGGAGGTAGATTGGCAGGCCTGATTTAAAGTGGCCTTTGATCTTTTGGATGTTAAAATTCCTAGGGCTAATCCAGTATAGTTTGGAAGATTGGGAAATCTGTGTAAGGGCGGTGTGTGTGTGGGGTGTCCCTCGGATTGCTTCATGACACATATAACGTGGAAATATTAACTTGCACATGAAGTTGTACAGCTGCCTCCTGCCGTGAAAATGTCTTTGAGATCATTTGTAAGACACGGAAACTGGGTGAAGAGAAGGAATTTCTTTAGAGAGCTTCTGAAGCGAAAATATGGAAAGCACAGCAGGGTCTCAGAGAACATGAAGTCCTTTGGGTGTTTGTAGCTAGAGTTTCCCTGCCTGGCTCACGGTCAGGACAAATCTCTCTCACCCGCCAGTCCCGCAGGGGCTCAGACCCAACCAAGTAAACACACAGAGACTTATATTACTTAAACTGTATGGCCGTAGCTCAGGCTTCTTGCTAACTGTTCTTATATAACCCATTTCTATTAGTCTGTAAGTTGCCATGTGGCTCGTGGCTTACCGGTACCTTATATCTCCCTTGTCATGGCTGTGGCTGGCAGCGTCTCTCTGCCTCAGCCTTCCACTTCCCAGAATTCTCCTCTCTCCTTGTCCCGCCTATACTTCCTGCCTGGCTACTGGCCAATCAGTGTTTTATTTATTAACCAATCAGAGCAACACATTTGACATACAGAACATCCCACAGCAGGTGTTCATATGCATCAATGGGTAGTCTCCCTCCCTCCCTCCCTCCCTCCCTCCCTCCCTCCCTCCCTCACCACATGAATATCCCAGCATCCTTTCTGTGCAAACACTTGCAGAGCTTTTCCTCACAGGTCCGGCTTGCATGGGCTTGCTTTGCTGCAGCACCAACTGTAGGTCCTACACACAAACATCTTCATATTCCTATGCTACAGTTGCTTAATGTGAAGTTTTCTCTGTGGTAGGTGTCTGCTGTTAGCTCTGAGACCAATGGCCTTAAGGGACTAACATGACCTGCTGGCCTATTCCGTAAGTTGAGGCCATGACCAGGCAAGTGTTAAAACTTTAGGGCAATAAGTCACCAGATTTGAAAGAAAGAAAATGTGTTCATGTTGTTTTTGTAGCTTGATTTCTAGTTAAAAAAAAAAGCTTAAATATACTTTTTAAATAAACAATCTTTTTTTTTGTCTTTCTACCCAAAGGCATAAGAGAGACTTTTGTCTAGAATGCTACCTCCACAAGGATAAGGACTATATTTTATGCTCTTTTGGTAACTTCCATACCACTTAGCCAGTGGAGAACTCAACGACTAGTTCAAATACGTGAGGATGGTCCCATTAGGTTACTATGGAGCCCAGACACTCCTGTTGCCTCGTGACATCGTATCTGTCTTAATACAGTCTAAGGCGTTACTCACATACAGGACCTGCAGCTGTGTACAGCACGCAGTACTTGCTAATGGTGATGCTGTGCTTTCTGTTATTACCATAGATGGTATTGCTTCTGCTTTTAAAAACAGTTACTGTAGGACAGGATGCCGTGTTGTGCCAGCAGCAGCCCCGTGCAGCTGTTATCTGCATCTGTTGAGTGTGTCAAGAGCCGCTGGAGTGACTGACCTATGTCATCTAGGTCTGGGGAAGAGCTCTGTCTGCATGGTAAGGAGACCTAACAGCACAGTTCTCAGTCACTTTTCCATACATGATACATTTGAAATAATTTTTAGGTGTAAATTATCATCATCATCATCATCATCATCATCATCATTTCCACTTCTCAGTTTAGTGCAACATAGAAGAAAGAAAGCCAGACAGCTGAAGTATTTATCTAAATTGTTCTATTATCAATAAAAACTTGGAGTCAAGTATGGTGGTAAAAATCTGATAGATTAAAGAAGTGGCAGAGGAGTGACCAGCTGTCCTTTTTCCATACTTCCCAGATCAAAAAGGCCTGCACATCTCTCTAAGCCCCTTCCTACTCCTTCCTGTGCCTCTCTATTGTTTCCGGGTCCTCCAAAATCTCTATGGTCAATTCTTGTCAACAGGTCACTGACTCTGCCTCCCATCCAAGTTTAACTTTATTAACACAGTCTTGGAGTGTCACAGTGCAATCAAATATACCTCAACAGAAAGTATCTTGTTAATGTCAAGCTATTAGTAGGTTAAATTGACTCTACTCATTTTTAATTCATAGTAACTCAAAAAGGACTACCAAAGGGTTAATTTTCACTTAGCATTGCCTTATTCACTTTATAAATTAATAACACAAAGGTATAGTGTATAAATCACATACAAGTACAGTCTAATAACCTTCAAATTGTCAAGTATGCAGAGAACACTAGTCACTAAAATTGGCAGTGCTGAAACATCTTTTTAGGTATTAATACTGTATTAGTAAAGTTAGTCTCACAACCCCCCAAGAAGATTTTAAAACATTTAGAAAAATTGAGAGAAAATTTAAGGAACATACATATAACCACATAGATATGATTATCAGTATGTACAGCACTGGCTCTGCATCCTGTGTGTGTATATGTGTGTGGAAGTACAATTGTGTGGAGGTGTACATGTGTGCACGTATTAGCAAGAGTACTTGGAAGTAAGTTTCATTCATGAGTGGATACTTCATCAGGTACATCAGGAATGAGATATTCACCTCCATATCATCATCTAAGAAAAGTAATTGCCTACAACAAATCTGTATTCAGACTCACCCATTTGTCTCACTTCTGAAGCTGATGTTTTCTTTTAAACTACAGGGTTTATCCAATGTATTTGATTAGTCTGTCTTTTTTCTCCCAATATCTGTTCGTATGTATGTGTGTGTCTGTATGCATGTGTATGTCATAGCACATGTATGGGTATTAGAGGACAACTTGAAGGAGCTGGTTCTCTTCCACTCATGTGGGTCACACAGATTGATCTCAGGTCATCAGCTTGGTACCAAGTGCCCTACCTGCTGATCTTTCTTACCAGCTTTTCTCAGTACCTTTCAAAAATAGTTGATTGATGTACAGTTAATGCACAGTAGTTTGTACATGTTCAAACTACCGCGTGTAAAGTAGTTATAGGGTTCTTTGTGTTTTCTTGAGTGAGCTATGGTAGTTTGTATTTTCAAAGGGTCCATGTATTTTACTTAAGATGTCAAATGTGACATTTTTTTCTTTGATTGTGCTTAGGAGTTGTTCCAGTTAGATAAGGATGGAGGTTTGAGAGCTGGTTCAGTAGTACACGCACTGAAGCTTACTTCACGTAAACAGACACCAGCTACCATGTTGGCTACTGGAACCCAGATTCTCCCCTAAGGGGAGATTGGGGAAACAAAAGGAATTCCTTCCTTCCTAAGTTTGCTGAGTGAGTGGGTGCACTCAGGTCATATATGATGGTCATTACAAGGAATACAGGGAACCCCTGTCTGAGAGGCTGGACAGTTGGGAGGCAGTTAGATGAGAAACAAAGCCATACATAACTCAAGGCCTAGGGCTGGACATACTGCATCTCTTGTAGCTGTGAAGATGGAGGAGGAGCTTGTTAGCAGTTGCTGTTCCCTCTGCAGCAGGCTAGAGACGAGGGCTGGAGAAGTAGCTAGAACGCTACCCTGTGGAGGTCCATGGTCTGAATTTCTTTTGTGTTTTTCTGTGTGGTTCATTGAACTTGGTAGCTTTATGGGTTTACAGCTTTCATTCAGTTTGGCCCAGCTCTGGCCACTGCCTCTTTGAGATCGTTTTCTCTTACCCACCCTTGCCTCATTTGAGGACTGTAGCCACGAGAGGATTAAACTATCTCATTGACGCCTCTTGCATTTTCTGTCTGTTTTTAGCTCTGATTGGTCATGAAGTTCACAAGTCCTTATTTCCACTATGACCTATGTTACCCAGGGTAACATTTACATTCATCCTCAATTTTGTGGTTTTATTGAGAAGTTGAAGATATCCTTTTAAAAATATGCATTCCGTGTCTGTATAAAGCATGCTGAGAATTTTTCTGGCGTTGCTTTAACACATGGAATATAGTTAAAACAGTGACTCAAATATCCTTGTCTACTGATACTGCCATTTGTATTACCTAGGTGCTAGCTTCCTTTGACTAATATTTCTTCTTCCCTGCTGATCTCATTTCCTGCTTGGTAATTTTACATTGTAAATTGTGTGTTGCTTGGTGTTGGGTATTTTTGATTCTTGAGCTTTTTTGAAGGAAATCCAGGATGTGGTTATTAGAAGCAGTTTCATCTTTTTGAGTGTCATTGTACCAAGCTGGATCTTATCCGCCAGTTAAGAACCACTCACCCGTGTTTGTTTTAGTCTTCGTTACTGGGGCAGAGCAGTTCTCAGGGTGGTCCTAATTCTCCTCTAGTGCTGAGGCCAGGCTCTTCCACCCAATGCCTGTGACTTACAAATGCTAAGTTTTCCCACTGTGACCAATGGGAGCAGGCAGTGCACTCTGCCCTGTGTATTGTGCCCTGTAATTACGGTTCTTTCCAAGCTTCGGGGAAATTTCTTACTCATGTGACCAGTTAGTACTCAGTGGACTAGGGAGGAGCCTGCTGAGTTCTCTCGGTACTGTTCCATGTTCCCTTCCTCCGCCCATAGGTACAGCTACCTGGTCCACAGGATTCCCCAGCTTCACACCTTCAGGTTAGGGCAGTTAAGGGGCTAGTCTCTCCTGTCTATGTTTTTTGCAAACTCATCAGGCGGTTCTCTGGGGGCAGTTGTGGGGCCTCATCTTGTTTCTCATCTCTCTGTCCTTCATTGCCTATTGCCAAGTAGTTTGAAACCCTTGTTTTATTTATTCTGTTTTTAAAGCCATTTTTAGGTGGCATTCAAGTCTCTCTTCTTACATCCTGACTCCGATTAAAAGTCTGTCTGTCTGTCTGTCTGTCTGTCTCTTTCTCTGTCTTTTTGAGACAGGGTTTCCCTGTGTAGCCCTGACTGCCTTGAACTCACTTTGTAGACCAGGCTGGTCTTGAATTCAGAGATCCACCTGCCTCTGCCTCCCAAGTGCTGGAATTAAAGGCATGCACCACCATGCCAGGCTAATAAGCCTCATGGTTTTATTTGAAAGAATACATTTGAATTTTTTAAATTAGGCTTTTCTATCCCATTATATTCATTTTTTATTTGTCAACTGATACAAATTCATTGCTGTTCTACCTAAGCTATTTCTTATTCTCCTCAAGCGATTTTCTGATCAAATAGATTCCCTGCAATTAAAAAACAACACGATTTTCTTTTTAAATGAAGTAAAAAGGTTCAAGTGTTGAAAATAAGCACTGTGTAGTGAACTAATGCTGGTGCACTCCTTTGTTTGTCCTGTTGAAAGGTGCTGCTGTGGGTGATGGGCAGAAACACAGGCAAATGTTGTCTTAAGATGTTCAACACACCTTCTTAAGCATTGCATTCCCAATTTGTAAATACATATTTTCCACAGGTGCTTATATCTATCTTTTTTTTTTTTTTTTTGGTGTGTTTTAGATAACCAAGCAAAAGCAGGATGAACTTCCTTTATGGACTGCAGGCTGCCACGAGAAACCGTTTTCTCTCTGGAGTGACTTTCCTGGCCAACTGGAAACAGTGGAACCCACCAGCAGGCTGTTCACACCCACGAGGGCCCCTAGTCATAAATGCGAGCCGAGGACTTAACACAGTCCGTCAGTGTCATTCGGTGATTTTACTGCCTGGAAACTTCCATTTCTATAGGACTCTCAGTAACAAAAAATCAAGATGCTTTTCAAGTGCTCAAAGCCAGGAAATGGGGGTGCTTACCTACAAACTGACTGTGTGGGGTGATTCTTTTCCAAGACAAGGATCGAGGAAAGTGGTTGGTGGTCCTTCTCTCACAGCCCCGTGCCCTCTGAGCTGCCCAGCCGGAAGAGTTGCCCAGAGTTTCCACACGTCCCCACGGGTTCTGGCTGCTCCAGTTCCTTTCTTGCTGCTCATTCTGAAACCAGTGCAGAAGCTCCTTGCCATCATTGTGGGCAGGTAACACTTTGGGGGAGGGGGGAAACAGCATTTGTGTTAAAGTTCTTGAATTTTTATATTCACATTTTTAGCAACTTATAATAATTTTTAATAATTAACCTTAGTATTTTATAAAACTATAGCTTTAAAGAAACTCTCCCCTATACCATACTCAGCTCAAAATTTGAGTTTCTAAAGGTAAGTTCTACCAGTCTTCTTGTGTGTGATTTAATAATTTTGAAATAACTTGTTTATTGTACAGAAATATGATCCTTAAGTTTTGTTGCTACAGACGTTTCTAAAAGACTTCACATTTCTAATTATAGGGGAATGGGAAGTATTGGCACCATCTTGTGTAACAACAGCACTTAAGAACATTGCCTTTTGATTTTGTGGAATTTTAGGCAATAAGCATGAAATGAAGGTCTTCACTCATATAAGTAGGGGCTCAGACTTAGCCACGTTAATAATGCTCATTTCTACCCTCGTTTTCAAGGCGTCCTTGTTATGTTTCTCTTGGTAGTCCTTTGTGATAACTCATTTATAGCTAAGTGCTTGTTTCTCAGTCCCTTTCCCCTTATTTCATGAAGGTTGAAGAAGGCACATCACCTCTTCCTAAGGTTTTCTTACGGTTGCTAACGAGGCTGCCCCTCCCAGCTGTCTGTTTCCTCCCACACTCACAAGCCAGTTGGCTTTATTAAAAGTTCAGGAATTTCTCTGTAATGTATTTAATTTTACATGTTTGATGTTGAAGGTCCTAAGTAACCAGCTTATCCTTGTTTGTAGGGATGATGGCTTTGTGAGTTCTATTTCTTTAAAATTGTTTGATTTGGTGTTGATTTTACTATTATAAATTTCCTCTTATAACATGTTCCACATATAAGTAAGTAGTAATTCTATAAATGTTGTAAATAGGAAATAAGTGGCCAGGCGGTGGTGGCACATGCTTTCAATCCCAGCACTTGGAAGGTAAGCAGATCTCTGTGAGTGCAAGGCCAGGTTATTCTACAAAGCAAGTTCCAAGACAGCCAGGGCTGCAACAGAGAGAAATCCTGTCTCAACCAAAAACCAAAAAAAAAAAAAAACAAAACAAAACAAAACAAAAAACCCTGTTTTTATGATCCTCTGGTTCAGTCCCTTTTCTAAGGCATTTCACGTGTGTCTGTGTGTTAGCTTTCTGACACTGAAACATCTGAGATAATAAAGGGAACAAGGACTTATTTCAGCTCATGCTTTCAGAGATTTCAGTCCATGGTCGCTTAGGCCCAGGTCACTCAGTGCATCTTGGTGGGAATCCATGGCAGAAGAGACTTGTCGATTTCATGATGGCCAGGAAGGCAAAGAGAGACATGGGTAGGGCTTGGGGTCCTAACATCCCCTTCAAGGACACACCCAGTGACCCCACATCCTTCCACTAGACTGTCTCCCAAGGGTCCTGCCATCTCCTAGTAGTGCCCCACGCCAGAGACCAAGCCTTTGATATTGAATCCAGTGACCTTTTGGTGGAACTATGAGAGCAGGAACTTGGTAAATTACAGGGACTTTACAAAATTGCTTTGTAAAATGAATTCTTGTATGTATGTGTGTGTGTGTGTGTGTGTGATAAATTTTATTGAGACTTGACAAATGTGTGCACAAGGAAATTTTTTTGTCCCGCTGTTGAAAACATTGCTTGTTGTTAAAATGTTTATGAACCCAGCCCAGCACTTGAGAGAACTCTCGCCAGCCAGCAAGGCCCTCCCCAGGTGGCATCTGTAATGATGCCCATTTCTTTACTGTGGTGCTTCCGATCCTCCCTTCCCTCTTCATGTTCTAGCGATGATAGTGGAGCCTCTGCTTCTGAGCAGTGCCGCTTACTCCTGGAGTGGGTGCCGAGGTAGCATCTCTTGTTCCTTGCTGGACCATTGCAGATTGAGCCGGAGTCTGAGGAGCAGTGCCGAAAGGTACAGATGTACTCTTCACGACCCCAAGATGATTGTCTGGGGATGTTATCTGTGTGAAGTGGTTAAGTGGTCAGTCTCAGGAAATGGCATTCCCTTACTCCCGGGTTTTCCTCCTGCTACCTCTGTGGCCTTGGCTAGGTTGTTCTCTGTGGCGAGGTGTTAGGAAGAGCAAATGAGGTGATTTGTGCATAACTAGAGCAGCACTTCAAGTATGTAGACATTAAGTGTTGGTTAGTGGTAGCTATAAAACAGCACTTCAAGTATGGTAGACAGTAAGTGTTGGTTAGCGGAACTTGTAAAACAACTACTCACTTTAGTGTTGGCATTCACACTAGCTGAAGAGGAAAATTCAAATGAGCCTTGGGGATTTTAAGTAAGGCTTTATAGAGTTGATGACTTTTTCATCCTTTAGCTAAGGATTTTACAAGTTAAAAAGCTATGTGTACAGAGAAACATGAAGATCAAAGTGACTGGCCCCATAGAATCCTAGCACATGCGCATGAGTTTTGATGGTATGTGAACATGCACTTACCAACGCCGCATTTCCGATTTGTCACAGGGGCATACGGAAATGGTGGCAAGCACTTCCTCCTAACAAGAAGGAGCTATTTAAAGACAGTGTGAAGAAGAATAAGTGGAAGCTGCTCCTCGGTCTGAGTGCCTCTGGCCTGCTGTTTGTAGTGTTTTATTTCACTCACCTGGAAGTGAGCCCTGTCACCGGAAGGAGCAAACTGCTGTTACTGGGGAAGGAACACTTCAGACTTCTGTCAGACCTGGAATACAAAGTGGTACGTAGCAAGGACTGTCCTTAACTAGATTGCGTAAGGTAGCACTAAAGCAGGAGTCTTCTTTAAACATGGAAGATGCACTACTTTTAGTTTTAGGCTTTGATACACCAGTAGTAATTTTCCCCAGGTCTCATACCTGGGAGAGGGCTTTGCACCATGTGCAGTGGTCTTTCCTCTGCACCCTGCCCCCCAGGAGTCCCTGCTCTGCTCAGTCAGTATTTCACTGTCTCCTGCTCAGCAAAGCCTTGCTTGATGCTCAGACTGGCTCAAACAGGGTGACTCCTTCAGGCTGAGCTGGGAACTGGATCTTTGTAATTGTGCCCCATGCTCAGCATGCTACTTTTCTTTGCTTTCTCTACCTGAGGGGAACTTACCATGGCCTTTGTCTATCTGCTTTACTAAGCTAAGCTCCATGGGACCAACAGCCTTGTTGGTTTGTTTATTTTATCCTAGGAACTAACACACCATGCAAAGTAGTGCTTAGTTTTTATGTATCAAATAAGTAAATATGTTGTGAGAATTTTTATACCTTGAAAGTCAGGTGTAAAATGAATAAAAAATTTCTTAATAAAAAATAAAGTCGGTATAATAAGATAGTTGTAATTTTTCTAAATATTAATTTTGGCTTTTGAAATCTTATTGTGTTTTCTGCCATTTTTTTTCTTCTTAAAACAGAGTTTTGCCATGTGGCCCCTCTTGGCCATCAGCCTGTGACCCCTGTGCCTCAGCCTCCTAAGGGCTGAGGTTGCAGGTGTGTGCTACTATAATCACTTGTTTTCTGAGTACACAATAAAGGTGTGATTCAGAAATCTCAACTCCTTGAGAAGTATAATAACTTAGGGAGTGACACATTACACACTTTGTGTCCTTGTGTGTCCTCGATCCAAAGGCAACAGGAGGTGGACTGAGACACTGGGTGTGGTCTGTGTATATATGAAACCTCAAAGCCCACCTCCACAGTGACACACTTCCTCCAACAAGGTCATACCTCCTAATAGTGCCACTCCCTTTGGGGACCATTTTCTTTTAAATCATCACAGCAATGACTTTTTACTATAAAAAATTGTTCTTAGGTAAGATAATAACAATGTCTTAGAAGAATACATACAGAAATTTAAAATATCTCCTAGAATTTAGTCTTAATAGGAAGATAGATTGAGAAAAATATTTTAGAAAGATTGGAAGAAACCTTGTATGAAATTGGTATATCTTATACTATTCAGAAAGCTTAAAAAATTAAAATACATGAATATATGAATGGATTTGCATATATTATATATAGTATGTATACATATGGATGTGTATATATGTATAAGTGTGTTTATATGATTAGACATTTTTATTGCTTAATTCATTGGTCTGTGAATCTAAACATTCTTACAGAAATGTCATAAAGTACTCTAATTACATAGTGTGCAAACTAGTGTGTTGTCCACTTGGCACAAGCTAGAATCAACCAATAGACAAGGAGCCTCTACTGAGAAAATGCCTGCATAAGAGTGGCCCATAAGCAGTCCTGTGGCTCATTGTTTTGATTAATGATTGATGTGGGACAGCCCAGCTCAGTGTAAGCAGTGCCATCCTTGAGTAGGTGGTCCTGGGGTGTAAAGAAAACAAGCTAAGCAGGCCCTCAGGAGAGCACCAGGAAACAACATTCCTCCAGGGCTTCTGCTTCACTTCCTGCCACCAAGAACTTGTCTTGAATTCCTGCCTTGACTGTCTTCGATGATGGACTGTGGCCTGAGAGTGTAAGGTGAAATAAACCCTTTCCTCCTCAAGTGGCTTTTGGTCAGGGTGTTTATCACAGCAATAGACAGCAAACTAAGATACAGGGACTCTTAGTTCTTGGAGAGGGATTAATAGAGTGTGGTGATATATTGTGTATCCTAATAAAATTTACTGAAAGATCAGAGAGACAAAGGACCAAGCCATTGCCACGTCTCAATTCACTGACTCCATGAATCCTCTGACTAAAATCCTCCGAGTCCTGGATCTCTGCCTCCGAGTGTGAGGATTAAAGATGTGTGCCACCACTGCCTGGCATCTGTGTTTAATCTAGTGGCTGTTCTGCTCTCTGATCTTCAGGCAAGCTTTATTTGATACACAATATATCACCACAATAGAGGACTTTTTCATTTGTTTACGTTGGTAAATTGTTCTTTAAAATGGTAATTGATAGTCTTTTAAGTTTATAATGCATCTTGAAAATGGTTATCAACTTGATTTATATGTTAAACTATATATTTTATGGAATTAAATATTTGTAGAATATCCTTAATTTTCTCAGTGTATATGACAGAATCTCTCAGAAAAAGGCTTCAGAAAAAAATATCTTCATATATGAAATGGCTAGGCTTTTTAGTCAGCATCACATAGAGAAAATGATTTGCCCATTAGTTCTGAGATCTTAGTGATTTTCTTTCAGTCTGTGTGGATCAAACCCTTTACAATTAGTGAGATATTGTCTCTTTTTGTAAAACCCTAAGTCTATATTATTAATAGGGTGTTCTTTCATTTAGTGGATTATGAAAGTAATTAGTTTTCTTTGACATTTTCTCTCCTCTCTCTCTCTCTCTCTCTCTCTCTCTCTCTCTTTCTTTTTCTTCCTGAAACTGGGTTTCTTGTATCCCAGGCTGGCTTTGAACTTACTATGTAGTAGATGATGACCTTCTAATCATCCTGGTTCCACCTCTCCAGTGTTCAGATTACAAGGATGTGTAACCTCACTGGGTTTATGTTTTGCTGAGGATCAAACTCGGGCTTTGCATATGCTATGAGCGTGACCACTCCACCAAATGAGCTGTATCCCCAGCCCTGAAGTTTTCTTTTTTTTTTTTTTTTTTTTTTTTTTTTGGTTTTTCGAGACAGGGTTTCTCTGTGTAGCTTTGCGCCTTTCCTGGATCTCGCGCTGTAGCCCAGGCTGGCCTCGAACTCACAGAGATCCGCCTGCCTCTGCCTCCCGAGTGCTGGGATTAAAGGCGTGCGCCACCACCGCCCGGCGAAGTTTTCTTTTTATATGAAGTTTCTAATGTAAATCCTTTGTTGTCTAGGCAGTTTTGTTTTCTGAAATTCTTAGGAGGGTAGAAATATTTAAGCATTTTACTTGTATATAGATTAATAGAAAAGAATAAAATTTGGATTGAATCATGTTTATGTTTATATGAAAAAAAATCTTATATTTTAATCCTTTATGAGAAACTATACTGCTTTTACATGAATAATTCAAATTTTAGAAATGTGTTTGATATATGTAAATTTTTTCACAATTCAAATTTAAAATGCCCAACACTAGTCAAGTGATGTACTTTCCATGAAGCAGCATAAGCATTTGTAGTGCAAAAGCTCTTAAATAATACTGTTTTACAAATCTTGTAGTGGATGGAAGAATTTAAAAACGATATGCTGCCTGAGAGAGACCCCCGACACCTGACTGTTAAAGAGGTGGTACATCATCTAACACAATGCAATCAAGATGTCCCAGGGATCCCCGAGATCAACTGGGTGATTCATGTGGTTGATTCCCCAGATGTAAATGCCTTTGTTCTTCCGGTAAGTAAATACTTTAAAATGTATTTTTGTTGCTAGCTTTAATGTCTTTAAGTTTTACTGTGGGCTAATTGCTTCTGTTATTCTTTTGATGTGCAGAATGGACAAGTGTTTGTTTTCACTGGGCTTTTGAATAGTGTAACTGATACTCACCAGCTCTCCTTCCTTCTGGGCCATGAGATTGCACATGCGGTTCTGGGGCACGCCGTGAGTATCCAAATGACATGCAGCTGTTAAATGCTGCCTTGATAGTACCAAGTTGTATCCTTAAGGAACCCAATCTTTTCAGGATTGTTTTTTCTTCTTTAATGATGGAATGTAATTGCCATATTTTGTACCTGAAAAAAAGTGATTAGCTAATTTTGAGACTTTTGCAGTCTTTAGTATATGATACGGAATAATTAGTGTTTCTCTTAAATACTGTTTTTATCACCTGTCTCTTTTGCTAAAAAGTAATTAGTCTCAACCTCTAATTATTTCACATTAAAATTTAAACTTCCATAATTATTAATATACTTGTAATCTAGTCAGAAAATTAATTGTTGGAAAGTGATACTACTATTTAAGTGGTAGATCAATTTTTTTATTCTTACTCATTTTCAAAAGATGTCTTGGAATATTGTTGGAAAATGTCTAAATGATATGCAATATGATATGAATGTGGAGCAGTAATGATACTTTGCCAGGATAGTTTACTGAGTTTCATCTAATATGTTCCTTCTCATTCAGAACTTTAATAACTAAGAGTACCTATCATCCCTGCTTTATATATTAGGAAACTAACATTTAAAAAGACTAACAGTGGCCACATAGGCCTTTAATAACTCATGAAACATATTTTTGTACTCATTTTTAATTGCTATTCATTAAAAATGTGAATAGATCATCTGTGCATATTGAGATAAGTATATTTTTATTTTTAATCAGAACATTCCGGTATTTTTGTGAAATATTTGTGAAAGGATTTGCAATATGCTAAATCATAAGTGCAAATATTATTAACTTCAAATGGAAACTATAACGTTTATTAATCTTTCTCAAAGTCATTTAAAAATTCTATGTATTCTTTAGAGGAATAATAAGATGAGCTGGGCCAAAGTTCTTTTTTGAAGCATCCCTGATTTCTCTTGAGTTAAGGAAAATTTTTTAAAAATATTTTCCCTAAATGCATATAGGAACAAATCTAAGCAACAGAGATAGTATCGTTACAGTGTATTCTGACATCTCTCAAGTAATGGTGTCATAATTCATCAGTGATGCATTTGTGAATGAGACACAAACTTTCTCTTGGATTAGTTTGTAAGCCCACATTTGGTTTCTCCACTTCTCTCCCTGTGTCTTCCATCTGCGATTGCATGTATGTGTGTGATCTATCTGTCCCTGTTGCCTATATCTGTGTGTGTGTGTTTGAATTTGTGCCTGTGTCTCTGTTTATGCCTGTCTGTAAAAAAGGACTTTGCTCTATGTTTATTGAATAACACAGAAGACATGGTAATCTTTAAGCAGAAATCTTTAATGGTTTTACAAGAGAAGAGGTGACTTTACTGACCTCATCTGACCTATAATAGCACCAATATTGCAAGCAGGTGCTGCCAACTTGTATCTACATATTACTTCCAACAGTTATTGGAGATCTGTTGTTTAAGGTTGCTTTTGACCTGTTGCCTGCTAGCAGCGAATGATTGCCATAACACACACACACACACACACACACACACACACACACACACACACACACACACACATTATTCTGGGTCAGGGCATGGAAAAGTAACATTAAAGCTGTGCATTAGCTTTTACTGTAAAAGCTGATTGCACTAGAAATCCAAGGCATAGTAAGTTTGGTTGCATTGTTTTCTTAAAGACAGGTTTAACTTAAACCTGTACTGAGTACACAGTAGGACAGTAATGATCTCACAGCATATTCTATTATGAAATTGGCTGTGAGGTCTGGAAAAAGTTCATTCCCTTTGTGGTCAAGAGATATTTTCAGAAAAATGTATTGCCACGTCATAACTGCAAAAAACGAATCAGCTGTGGCTGTTGTAGCTTTAAAAGGTGGTACCATTCAGTTGATTTGATTTCTGGCATCCAGTCACTGCCTGTCAGGGTAGGGTCACCACCCCCACCAGTGCAGGATGGTGGTCAGATGAACAGAAGAGGCAGGGAACAGCCATGATGGAAAACAGTTACTGTTTCTTTGACAAAGGTCTCTTTTATTAACACACTGTTTTCTCTTTTGGAAGTCTTAGTTTTGATTGAACGTGACTTTTATGCTGTTTCTCTTTTTTTTTCTATAAATACGCAGTTTTAAAAATATTTATTTTTTTAAAACTAATAAGTTACACTCTCTTTTAAAAAAAATAGATTTGTTTATTTATTATGTATAGTGTTCTGCCTGCATGTATGCCTGCAGGCCAGAAGAGGGCACCAGATCTCATTACGGATGGTTATGCTGGGAATTGAACTCAGAACCTCTGGAGGAGCAGCCAATGATCTTAACCACTGAGCTATCTCTCCAGCCTCAATTATACTCTTTAATAATTCATAACAAGTTTATTCTCTTCATAAACACTGTCATTGTGACTTCAGTCTTTCATAGTAAAATAATTCAATAATGGTTTTACAACTAACGACTGTTAGGTGATAATTGTTTTGTGAGGAGAGATTATCTTGTTAAGGTCATACATAGTCTGATTTTAGTTTTCAGCTGTGTTGTGTCCATTCAGGTAGTGACTGGTACCAAGTCTGCATCAGCATTTTTATGCTAACGTGCACTCTAGTGAGTGTTGAGTAAGCCCATGCATTTAACTTTTACTAGGCATTCCTGGGCAGAACACACATTTTATACAAACCTTTCCTGGCTACTGCTGTGAGTATGTCCAAAACTCAGAACCCAACTCTCAGTGAGAAATACCAAATTTTCAAAACCAAAAACTTGTATAAATGTGTTGTGCTTTCATGCATTAGGTTATAAATAGCAAAATACCTTTATTTTAATTAAACTTTTAATTAATTAATTAAATCTTTTAATTAATTAATTTAATTTAATTAAATCTTTTTCTGAATTTTCTTGTCTTAAGTGCATTATCTACTATATATACTTAGGTTTTATGTAACAATATAAGTGTGATAAACACTTTTATTTGATGTGTAGAATATAGTATCTATGTTAGAAACCAAAATAGCCTTGGCCTGGATTTTTTGGTCTTTTTACTAATACCTGTGTGAATTGAGGCAGTCATAAAATCTCCATTTGCATTTCATTATCTATAAAATGGGGCTTATTGTACCAGAGGAATCATTGTGCTGGTTAATATAAGAAACTAGTTTATTAATTCTCACTGTCTATGACGATGAATAATTAGCTCAGCAAAAGTAGTAAAATGTTAAAGGCATAAATGATTCACCAGTGTGTAAGTAAAGAAAAGGGGACCTCCCAGCAGACAGCATGGACATGAGGGGAGAAATCTGGGTCTTTGGCAGGTGAGGTGGTTCGGCAAGTAAGAACTCTGGCCCAAGCCTGACTGCCTGAGTTAGCTCCCGGGGCCCACGTGTGGAAGGCGAGAACTGAGTCCACAAGTTGTCCTCTGATCTTGGACTGTGACATGCCCATGCCCCACATATATACATACAAATACAAAATAAACATAATAAAAAAGCTTTAAAAAATTGGGTCTTTGCTCATGTTGGCCACTTGAACCCACATAATTATTTAGTATGATCAAGCAGTGGCTAGAAAGTGTAAATATGCACTGTCTCCATTTACTAAATGTGGCTTTCATCATTTTATTATTCTCAGGCAGAAAAGGCTAGCTTGGTTCACCTACTGGATTTCCTTGGTATGATTTTTCTCACAATGATTTGGGCTGTGTGTCCACGAGACAGCTTGGCACTTCTGGGACAGTGGATACAATCGAAGTTGCAGGAGGTGAGTCTGAGATGGCCTGTGGTGGGCATGCAGCAGTGTTGGTGTAAAGCAGTGTGGATCAGAACTATGCTAAGGTCTGTCCTGGAGTCATATACGGAATTTCAGTGTCTGTTTGTCATTTTTAGGTGCTGTTCCCATATAGTATTTAATTAAGGGAGTCTGCATTTGTCTAGTGATATACAAGGGTCGATTAAAAGAGCTACTGTGTTGTTTTTTTTTTCCCCTTTATTTTTCATAGTTGTTGATTTCAGAGAGAGAAAACCTAATCACTGGTCCTTCTCTTATCTCTGTGACAGTCGTGTCCTTCCTCCAGAGATCTCTTCCAAGAAGGTTGAAGTTTTAATGAGTGTGGGGCTGGCTGTAGCTTCATATCATTCTCCTTTGCTGTTAATGCACAGTTAAACCAACGTTGCCTAGAATACATGGGGAGGGGGCAGTTTTAGGTGCTTTAGTGCCGATAATAATAATCATCTCATGACTAAGTCCCTCATATTGTTCAAAATACTGCCTTACTGAGGATCAGTCTTGTGATCCCCACAGCTGTGTTAACCAGATTGAGACAATGATTCTCAAATTGAAGAAGAAAGAACAGTTAGATTCAGATGGTGGGATGTCACATTGGAACTTAGTTGTCACTGACCTGCTGGGCTGTCAACGGAGTTGATGTAGCTTCCCCTTGTTTATAAGTAGATGCTTTTTAAATTAATAGAATCAGAAGAGTTGATGATAACTAAGGCAATGTAGCTGTTTTTCCCTTGAAATAATTTTATGCCTCTTAGGCATAATTTTTCCAATTTAATAACTAAACTGAAGAACAGGGATGCCTTTGGTGTGGATTTTTTTTCTCCTAAATTGAGGCCCCTCAGTGACTCTGTTGTCAAGAGATGTTTTTCTCTCTGCAGTGCCCTGCTCACCATATTTTGGGAGCATAAAGGAATGCTGGCAGTGATGCCCTATAGGGTGGGAATTGTCCACATTCCTCGCCATTCACTTAGTTACTGTGGTGACTGAATGATACAGGAGGGCTCTGTTAATGCAGAACTACTGATGTTTTGGTCTGGATTATTATTGCTGTTGGGGCTTGTCCTGGTATTGTGGGTTTTCTAGCATATGCAGTAACTACTCAGTAGATGCCCATGGTTCTTGCTCTCCACAGTGTCTTGATGGCTCAGATGGTTAAGAGCCTTTGTTACTCTTGTAGAGGACCTGGGTTCAGTTTGGATCCCAGAACCCATATAGTGGCTCACAAACATCTGTAATCAGGAGATTAGATACCCTCTTGGCCTCCATGTGCACCAGGCATATGCACGGTATACATATACGCAGGCAAAAATACTTATACACATAAAATTAATATAAAAATAATAATTTAAAACTGCCCCTTGAAGCCGGTACGGTGGCATGCACCTATAGTCCCAGCTACCTGAGGAGCTAAGGCAGGAGGATTGCTTTAGTTCATGTATTTGAGACTGTGGGGGCCCACAGAGGTTTCCTAGTGAGAGTTGAACTTGCTTTACCCAGCAGGGTTGCATTAGGGGATGGCTTGAGCACATGTGCGGTTACCAGGTGTTTGGAAGGGTCTGCACTTGGCTGTGGGAAGGCCTTTTGCTCCACCCCTTGGCATTCCTTTAAAAGTCCTTTAGCAGAGACAGAAGGGGCTGGTAGGTTTTGACTCAGGCCCTCCCTAGGCTATTCTGTGTTTCCATCTGTCTCTCTCAGTCTATATTTCTATCTAAATATTTCCCACTTCTCCCTGCTCAAGAGTACTCTGGGGAAAAAAGTGGGGGTGGGTCCCTCACATGAGACTACTTAGGTGACAACACCATGACCTTGTAACTCCAAACGTTTACAAATGTCCTCAAGAGCCGACAGATGAACAAACAAACAAGTCACAGCAGCTTGAGAAGCACTGCCTTAAAGCCGTTTGTATAGCACCTGGCACAAAGTAAGAGCTCTGTTCATAAGGATGATTAATTTTACTGTCGGCCTGTGTAATCCTCTGTGCAAATCGAGGACTTTGTTATTGTTACTAGCTCCATTTTGCACATTGCCCCATGAGTTCCTCTGTTGAAGCCGATGCTTGGCTGGGTTAGCACACTCCCTGGTGCACACTCAGCCTGTGCACTGAGAGCTGACCCCTGCCTTGCAGTTCTTCAGCTTAAAACAGATGTAAGTGAGGGGGAAGGAAGCCGTGTTCTGTGTTTACATACTGTGAATGGCGGCTTAGGTTGCTTGTATCCATCACAAGTGTGTGTTTGAAAAGTTGCTGCGTTTGAAAAGTTGCTTCCTGGATTAATAGCTCCTTTATCAAAAGTCCTGCTTCTTGATCCAGCTTCTACAAAGTTTTAGTGCTTACTGCAAATTAGAGTTTAATTAGAAAACATTCTCATAAATAAGAGTAATTGGGAAGATTAAAGTCATGATAGCTGTTCGTGTTTTTTGAAAAAATCTAAGTCAGAAGAAAATTTTATTTTCCTAACTAATCAATATTTAGAAAAGGAAATGAAGATAGTTAATCACAGACGGGGCTCTCCTCTGTGGCTAATTTTCCCATTGAAGTTTTCTGCTAGTGTTAATGGCTCTCATATACCTGTATTATTTCGATTTCCCTTTAGAACTGTGAGATTAGTGTTCCTTGGCCACAGTTAGGTCTGTACCAGGATAGGTTCTTAGGCAGCACTCTCTTCAACAGTGGAGATTATAAGTGGAAAATGAAATAAGCTAATGGCAGCACAGGCTGTCCGGGAAGGCACGTGCCTAACTTTTCTCCTTTTCATGTTTAAAGTGGGAGTTGAATGGAAGAAACAATGGCAACATTTACATTTTATATCTTAGAGGACAGACATTTCATACTAGATTTTCTGTGAAATTAATTTAACATTCATTTTTTGAATTCCTTTGATCATGAAATAAATCCACTTAATGGAGTTTTTTTCTGTCCCGCTTCTTCTTAGTATATGTTTGACAGACCATACAGTAGAACACTGGAGGCCGAAGCTGACAAAATTGGACTACAGCTTGCTGCAAAGGTAAAGTGATCAATCAACAGCTGAAAATACAGTGTTCCTCATTGTAGCTGAAGTTTTCCTGTGTCCTACCTGGCCCATGGTCAGGACAAATCTTCCTCACCTGCCAGTCCTGCAGCCACTCAGACCCAAGTAAACACACAGAGGCTTAAAACTGTTAGGTCATTAGCTCAGACCTACCACTGACTAGCTCTTATACTTAAATTAACCCATAATTCTTGTTTATGTTTAGCCACATGGCTTAGTACCTTTTCTCAGTTCTGATTTCACATCTTGCTTCCTCTGTGTCTGGCTGGCGACTCCTGACTCAGCCTTCCACTTCCTGGAATTCTCCTTGTCTGTTTATTCCGCCTATACTTCCTGCCTGGCTACTGGCCAATCAGCATTTTATTTATCAACCAATGGGAGCAACACATTCACAGCATGCAGAGCACCATCACCCATCACCTCATACAGCTGACAATACATGTGTGTTGTCTTGATGTTTGGCACACACACAGGCCAAACATTTAGTCATGCACCGTGTTAACCCTTTATACTACTCATCTTTATATTACTATAACAAAATGCTGAGACAGCTCAGGTATAATTAAAGTTTGTTTAGCCCCCACTTATGGAGATTCAGGGGCACGTTGAATTCAATGCCTGCATTGGCCCAGTTCTGCTGAGAATAGAAGATGGTGGCATATCATGGCAGGATCATGTGTAGAAGCAAATCAGTTGAGTCTAGAACCAGAGAAGAGAAAAAGAGATGACGATCAAGGTGGTACAGTCCCTCTTCAAGGGCACATCCTCAGTGACACAAACCATCTCTTCCTTGGCTCCCCTTTAAAGCATCTGTCACCTCCCTGTAGCACCACACGGGGCTATGCCTTTAGTCACAATGGACCCTTGGGGGTTACTTAGACCTCACCTACACCATAGTACTTTTCATAAATCTATAATTCTTGAAGATTATATCTCTTAAAGGAATGAATGAGTAACTGAAAATCTTCTATTCTCCATATGTGACTGTAATTGGCAGGATGTATTCAAAGTTTTAATCTTTTTTTTTTTCAATTTTTTTTATTTATTTATTTTAATTTATTTTGCAATACAATTCAGTTCTACATATCAGCCACGGATTCCCTTGTTCTCCCCCCTCCCATCCCCCTCACCTTCCCCCCAACCCCCCCCCCCCCCCCATTCCCATCTCCTCCAGGGCAAAGCCTTCCCCACAGACTGAGGTCAACCTGGTAGACTCAGTCCAGGTAGGTCTAGTCCCCTCCTCCCAGGCCGAGCCAAACAATCCTGCATAGGCCCCAGGTTTCAAACAGCCAACTCATGCAATGAGCACAAGATCTGGTCCCACTGCCTGGATGCCTCCCAAACAGATCAAGCCAATTAACTGTCTCACCCATTCGGAGGGCCAGATCCAGTGGGGACCCCTCAGCCATTGGTTCATAGTTCATGTGTTTCCATTCATTTGGCTATTTGTCCCTGTGATTTATCCAACCTTGGTCTCAACAATTCTCGCTCATATAAACCCTCCTCATTCTCGTTAATTGGACTCCCAGAGATCCACCCAGGGCCTAGTCATGGATCTCTGCATCCAGATCCCTCAGTAGTTGGATGAGGTTTCTAGCACAACAATTAGGGTGTTTGGCATCCCATCACCAGAGTAGGTCAGTTCGGGCTGTCTCTCGACCATTGCCGGCAGTCTGTTGTGTGGGTATCTTTGTGGATTTCTGTGGGCCTCTCTAGCACTTTGCTTCTTCCTATTCTCATGTGGTCTTCATTTACCATGGTCTCCTATTCCTTGTTCTCCCTCTCTGTTGTTGATCCAGCTGGGATCTCCCGCTCCCCCAAGCTCTCTTTCCCTCGACCCTCGCCCTTCATTACCCCACTCATGTCCAGGCTGTTCATGTAGATCTCATTCCATTTCTCTGTCATTGGGCGATCCCTGCATTTGGAAATCAATATGGCGCTTTCTTAGAAAATTGGGAATCCATCTCCCCCAAGATCCAGCTATACCACTCTTGGGCATATACCCAAGGAATGCTCAACCACACCGTAAGAGCACTTGTTCAGCTATGTTCATATCAGCATTGTTTGTAATAGCCAGAACATGGAAACAACCTAGATGCCCTTCAACTGAAGAATGGATAAATAAAATGTGGTACATATACACAATGGAATACTACTCAGCAGAGAAAAACAATGACATCATGAGGTTTGCAGACAAATGGATGGATCTAGAAAAAATCATCCTGAGTGAGGTAACCCAGACTCAGAAAGACAAACATGGTATGTACTCACTCATAGCAGGATAGTAGACATGAAACAAGGATGACTTGTCTGCTACTCACATCACCAGGGAGGCTACCTGGAAAACAGGACCCCAAAGTTTTAATCTTTATTAGAAAGCATTTTTTGCATACGTGAAATTTTTAGTTATAGACATGAAGTATGCAAATTAAAACTTTAAAAACATATGGATGTGTAGTGTCTTAGGCCCTTATTACTCTGTGTGCTTTCTGGAAGGCCAGTGCTGCTGCTGTTCTACACCCATTGTTTCTCTGATCTATGGGGGGCGGTTTAAGAAAAGAAGACCCCGCTGTTTTCCCTCACCTGGAGAAGGTTACTCCTATTGCTGTCATGGTCCAGGCTGAGCATCTGAGCATCTACTGCTGAAATGTGTCGTGGAGAACAAGTGTAGCAATTGACTCTCTGTGAGCTCCAGGAGCGGCTCCTGGGCCTCCTCACAGGTCTTGTGCTATTTATGTGTTGGACAGGAGCCTTCACCCCTAATTACTATTTTAATCCCCTGTGATAGCTGAGTTATCATTGTTAGCAGAACATTTTAAATGAGTATAAACTATAAAGTTTATGTATAAAATTAGTATGTTATTTGGCCCTTTGTTGAATTTCCAGTAGTTATTATTAAAAGTCACTATTATTTAAACTTCTCATTGTGAATCTTAATGGATTTGGCTCTATAAATGATGCTACATATTTGCAAAAGTAAAAGTGTTTCTTGGCACTTTAAGTAAGAAGGATCAAGTGAATTATCAGACTCTGTGCATTAAGAGGTTATCGAGTAAGGTACAAAGAACCAGTGGGTATGGGCTCCTAATCCTAATGCACTGGTCTGTCAAGTTTACCTTTATGTGTGTTTTGGGCTCTGGTTAAGAAGCTTTAATTTGCCTTAGTAAATTGATTGTTTTAGTTCTAAGAAGCTTCATTATATTAGCTCTTTTATGTCATAAAAAGAAGTGATCAAGGTAATTCTGTTTTTTTCCATGGACAGCTAATATACTCAGCCACAATTATTGAAAGGTAGATCTAGGCTCAGTGGTTAAGAGCACTGGCTGTTCTTCCAGAGGTCCTGAGTTCAATTCCCAGCAACCACATGGTGGCTCACGACCACCTGTAATGAGACCTGGTGCCCTCTTCTGGCCTGTAGGGACACATGTAGGCAGAACACTGTATACATAATAAACAAATAAATCTTTTAAAAAAAAAAAAAGAAAGGTAGATCTAGGGCCACAGTGGTACAATACCATAACTAATCCTAGTACCTTAGAGGTGGAGGCAGGAAGAGCAAAAGTTCAAGGCTAGCCTGAGCTACATGAGCCTCTGCCTGCAAAGACTGAACAGACAAAAACTGTTATTTTTGTCATGACAGTTAAAAACCAAGAGCTTAGATCTCAAGGAGAGCAGGAAGTGGAGAGAACCAACTGGAGGTGCCTCCAGGCTTTTAATCTTAAAGTCCAGCGACACATGCTTTCCATCAAGGCTGTACCACCCAAACCTCCTTATAAGTGTGCAAACGCCTGAACTGTGAGGGCATTACTCATTCAGACCACCACAGGGGCTGGCCATCAGGTGGTAGCATCTGCCTTTAGTTCCTCATGGTTTGGCAAATGTGTTTAATTATTAAAGAATATTGTAACTTTTCATTTACATTTGTTGAATTTATTGAGATGGTTATGTTTTTTCTCCTTCAATCTGTTAATGTGGATTGGTTACATTTTTTTTTAAGTTAAGCTAACTTTTTGTTTTTGGAAATAGGCTCAATTTTGTCAGTTTTAGTATCCTTTAATAAATGGCTAGAATTGGTTTGCTGGTGTTTTGGTTAGATATTATGTCTGTGTCCATAGGAGACAGTGGCCTGAAATTTAGATTTTCAGGAGTGGTTTCTCTTGAATGCCTCTCTCATTCTCACATTCATGAAGATGGCAGATTTCAAGATGAATCTTTATAGGGTGGGGACTGTCTGTATGCAAGGCTGTGCGTTTTCCTCAGAGAGCATCTTTACCTGCCAGGTGTTGACAGGCTATTTATTTTTTGTTTAGTTTAAAAACACATTCTTGTTTTCTTTGTGTTTTCTTCTTAGCTCATGGATTATTTAGGGGGTTATTGCCTAGTTTTTGGACCTCTTGTGGTTTTTGGTTACCATGTGTTTTTGACTTCTAGCTCACATTCTGAGTGGAGAGCACTCTCGGTGAGAAGCATCTTCGATGCCGTTTTATTTTCTCTCTCAGTGTGTGATCAAGACTGCACTGTGGGGTGTTCTTGAAGAGCTTCTGCCCTTGGAGACAGTGTTCTGTGGATGACTGTTTTGTCAAGTTTGTTAATTTCATTTTCATTTTTTTATTGAAGAGATTATTATTATTCAGCAATTTCATTATTTATCATTGTTCACGTTTTTCTTCCCCCCTTTCTAGTTATTTACAGAGCTTTCTAGTCTTTCATTATGGTTATAGAGTTTATCTCTTTTTGGTTCTGTCATTTATTTCTTTGCATAGCTTATAACTAGCTATCTTCCTGGTGGCTTGATACTTTTTTTATTTGTGAATATAAGAATATTACTTGGGACTGGACAGGTGCTCAGTGATTAATAAGGCTTGCTGCTCTTGTGGGGAACTGAGTCTTGCCAATTCCTAGCAGCCAGGTGGCTCACAGCTGCCTGTGACTCCAGCTTTAGGGATCCAGGTACCCTTTTCTGGCATCTGTGGGCA